GTGGTGCGAGCGGCGCAGCGATGGCGGCGGGTGGTAGTGATCCGCGGGCTAGCGATGTGGAAGAGGACGCCTCTCAACTCATCTTTCCCAAAGGTGGGGCCCGGGCTGCGCGATTCTCCCCGCCGGCGCGTGCTCGTCCAGGCGTCACCCTTGCCTCGCCCAGGGATGGCAGCAGCAGGCGGGCTAGGCTGGTCTCTAGCTCACCGAGCCAGGAAGGCCAGCCGGGCACAAGAGGAGCCTGGCGGCTTTGGCTTAGTGCCTCCGAGAGAAGGCCCTCTTTTTTTTTTTTTTTTTTCCCTTCAGTGTCAGGGCTCGAACTCAGGACCTTGCGCCCACTGAGCTAAATCCCCGGCCCAGAGAAGACCCTCTTGCTTCCACGCCACTTCGCTGGAATTCTCGGCGGCCAGCAGCCTCTTGCTGCCAGTTTTTTAGAAATTAAGAACATAGGGCCCGGGATTTAGCCCAGTGGTTCCACCGCCTGCCTCCCAAGCACAAGGACCAGAGTTTAATCCCCGGTACCAAAAAACAAAACAAAATAGAGATTAAGAATATAATGGGGATTTAGCTCAGTGACACCGCACCTGCCTGGCCAATCACAAGGTACTGAGTTCGATCTCCAGTACTGGGGGAAAAATTAACACTCTAATGCTAGCATTATGGAAGTATAAATGCAGCAGGAGGAAAAGTGGGACACCCAGACGGCACTCAGACACGAAGTAGGAGCAAATTGGCTTTGATTGCTGGTAGCTCAACAAGGGGTTTCTATCAACCAGAGAACATGGAACAGAAATTCACTTTCATTTTTTTACCGCTGTGTTTCTAGGGGGCTTTCTTTCACTGGAAGGGAAACAGCAGGTGAGAGTTACACAAGCAGACCAGTGGTTAGGGGGAGTGGAAAGTTACCATAGGACTTTCTAAGGCCATTATGCTCTGGTGAACTTAGGGCATAACTGTAGTTGTGACAGTGCCTTTTACAGTGTGAGGGCCGGTTTCCTCTCTTGTTAGCAGTGTGGGTTAAGCCAGGTGTAATAGTGCACACCTGTAATCCCAGCATCCTGGGCAGGAAGATCACAAGTTAGGCTCAGCCTGGGCAAGTGAGTAAGGCTCTGTTTTTAAAAATAAAAGAGTGGCCTGGGATTTAGCTCAGTGGTACCACGCCTACCGTGTAAGTGCAAGGTCCTGAGTTCAAGGCCCTGAGTTCAATCCCCAGTACCAAAAAAAAAGGTTAAAAATAAAAGAAGAGGGCCTGGGATTTAGCTCAGTAGTTCTGCCCCCTGCCTCTCAAGTACAAGGTCCTGAGTTCGATCCCCAGTACTCAAAAATAAATTAAAAATCATAATAAATAAGAGAAGGCCCAGGGATGTAGCTTTGTGAGAAAGCCCTGAAAAAAAAAAAACAACAAAAAATGATTATGGGTTTGTACAGGCTAGAGGGAAATCGTCGTTGATGTGATCTGATTTGAAATCAGAAACTGGCCTAATTAGAATAATCATGTGTCATTTAACAGCACGTCCGGGTAGGGTTCATCGGTGTCGGAAATGAGGTAAATGTTAGCATCCCATGAGCGCTGCCGGGGGAGGCATGCAGTGTGGAGGGAATGAAGACAGGGAAGTGTTCAGGCGTAAACACTACACAGCAGGCCTGTGAAGGGCTGTTTTCGGCTGACACTATGCTTCTCGCCACAGAATTTGAAACAGCAGAGACCCTTCTAAATTCAGAAGTTCACATGCTCCTGGAGCATCGGAAGCAACAGAATGAGAGTGCAGAGGATGAGCAGGAGCTCTCGGGGGTCTTCATGAAAACCTTGAACTACACAGCTCGATTCAGTCGTTTCAAAAACAGAGAGACCATTGCCAGTGTCCGTAGGTGAGTGCTCACGGAGTTTGTATGAGTCCAGACTGCTGGGTATCTGTGGGCAGAGCCCCTGTACCTTTCCCTCTTTCCTAGGCATCATCTCTGTATTTAGTATAAATAGTGTCTTTGTCAGAAATTTAAAGGACCGGGGATTTGGCTCAGTGGTTCCGCTGCCTTCCTCACAAGTGCAAGGGCCTGACTTCAATCCCTGGTACCAAAAAAAAAAATTTTTTTTTTTTTTTTTGAGACAGGGTCTCACTATGTCATTGAGACCGACCTGGAACTCACTGGAACTCACTATGTAGCCCAGGCTGGTCTCAAACTCACAGCAATCCTCCTGCCTCAGCCTCCCCAGTGCTGGGATTACAGGAGTGTGCCACTATGCCCGGCATAAATAAATTTTTTTTTAATTGGGGGCCTTGGGTATAACACGTTCAATGATACAGTGCTTGCCTAGCATATGAGAGACCTTGGGTTTGATCCTCCATACCCCTCAAAAATTATTTAAAATTGCTTCTAAGGTTGTGTGTAGTGGCACATGCTTGTAATCCCAACTATTTGGGAGGCTGAGGCAGGGAGATCAGTTTGAGGCCAGGCTAGATAGACTGTTATGGAGGAGTAAGTTAGAGCAATAGAGATGTGCCACACTCTGCACCAGATTGAAGTCTTATTAAAGCTGGTGACTGAGAAGGGGCTAGTGCCCAGAAACTTTTCTTGGCCCTGAGAAACGGTTTGATTTCTCCTTTTAAATCATACTTTCAGTTGGGGAGGGCTCAAGGGGAGAGCAAGTGGAATTTTACAGCAGCAGAACCATGCCAGGTTAGTGGGGGGTGGGAGTTTCACACACTAGGTGAGCTGTAAAACATCCTGCAATGGCAAGTTTAAATGCAAGTTTACTGCCAAACAGGATGGGGGGTTTTGGGTGCTTTGTCCAAGCACAAGCACACAGTGGTGGTAAGGTTCAAAGTGGAGTTGGGTTGGTTATCACAAGACAATTTAACGAGACACAATATGCAATTAGAAAGGGGCTGGGGATGTAGCTCAGTGGGAGCACTTGCCTAAAGTATGCATGGCCCTGAGTTCACTCCCAAGAAGTAGACAGGTGAGGCAGCATAGCCTGTAATCCCAGCACTGGGGAGACTCATGCAGGAAGATCAGTGTGCATTTGAGACCGGCCTGAACTATATAGTGAGAACATCTCAAAACAAAAACAGCCCATAAGGACAAAAAATAATTAAGATATATTATATGCATGTACCCTCTCCCCACTTACTATAATATATACTTACATACAATCCAATAAAATAATAAAAGGGCATGAAAAGGGCCACTTTATTTTTTGTCTTGTTTTGTGTTTGGGTTCTAGCATTGAATCTCAGGCCTCCAGTATGCTGAGTACATACTTGATATATCACTGAGCTATTGAGAACTCTTCTCTCCTCTTTTCTCTTTCTGTGGCACTGAGCTGGGGGTTGAATCCAGGGCCTCTCCTGTGCTAGGCAAGCACTCTACTTTGTATAGCTTTCAGCCCTTTCTTTCTTGCTGGGTATCAAAGCCAGGTTAAGTACTGAGCTGGATTCTAGCCCTCGTAGAGCTATTTGAAATAGCCAAAGATAACAAACAGTCTAAACCAGGTGTGGTGGACGGACCTATGGTACATGTGCCCCAGCTGGCTATTATCCTTGAAAGCTCTAAAAGTTTTGCCATCACTGATCTAAACATTTACCAGTAATTAAATATATTATGATGATTCCATTTGATGAGTTACTATATTATAATAATTAAAAATAGGCCCGGGCATGGTGGCACACACCTATAATCCCAGCACTCCAGAGGCTGAGGCAGGAGGATCACTGTGAGTTCGAGACCAGCCTGGGCTACATAGTGAGTTCCAGGGCAGTCTCAACTGCATAGTGAGACCCTGTCTCAAAAAGTCAAAAGAAAAAGAAAAAAAAAAAAAAGGCCAGGGCCAGGGATTTAGCTCAGTGGTTCCGCTGTCTACCTCACAAGCGCAAGGACCCGAGTTCAATCTCCGGTACCAAAAAAAAAAGGCCAGGTCAGCTGGTACCCATGGATAATCCTGACTTCTTGGGAGGCTAAGGCAGGAGGATTTGAGCTCAGCCTAGGCAACTGAGATCTTGTCTCAAAATAAAAGAAATGGGGTTGGGAATGTAGTTTAGTGGTAGTATGACTGCTTAGCATGCATAAAACCCTGGGTTCATTATCTAGTATGAGAGTTGGGTGTGGTGGCACATGCTGTAATCCCAGCACTCCCGGAAGCTGAGATAGGAAGATCGCCTTGAGTTTGAGGCCATCCTAGGCTACATAGTGAGTTCAATGCCAGACTGAACTACATTGTGAGACTCTGTTCAAAAAACCAAAAAACAGGGCTTGGAATTTAGCTTAGTGGTACCGCCTGCCTTGCAAATGCAAGGTCCTAAGTGTGATCCCCAGTACCAGAAAAACCCCCAAAAAACAAACAAAATATCCAGTACCACCATAAATAAATAAGTAAATAATGGAACTAGGGCTGTGGGTCATTGGTAAAGTTTGTACTTTTCTTTCTTTATTTTAAAAAATTTTTTTAGGGCCAGGGATTTAGCTCAGTGGTTCCGGCGCCTGCTTTGCAAGCGCAGGGACCTAGGTTCGATCCCCGTACTGGGGACCCCGAACTTGGTCCTTGGGCTTGCAAGGCAGGTGACAGGAGTTTGTAATTTGCATATGGTTTTGATCCCTACCACTGCAAAATAAAAAGACAGAAAATGTTTGGAATGGTATGCTGAGATGGTAACTTCAATTTTGTTTAAACAAAAACTCCTTACGTTTCTATTTAGAGTAACAGTAGGCAGTATGATTCCAGAAGTTAAAAAGTATTTCACAACCTATGACTTCAGCTTGGCAAATAATTTCAGTTCCAAAATGGATTCATCCCTAATAAAATGTAAGCCCTTAAAAAAAAGAAGAATGTGTCTATGTATGTAGACAGTATGTTATTGTTTGTTTGTACTTTTGTTTATTGTTTTATTATGTGGTACTGGGGATCGAACTTGGGACCTTGCACTTGCGAGGCAGGTAGCAGAAGCACTGAGCTAAATCCCTGGCCCCATAGACAGTATTTTAAAGAAACTGGATAATCTTTGCAGCAGCCTTAGTGTTTCCTTTACATTGACCTGGAAAGGACCATTGTATTAGCTTTTTGGAAAGAATTAGCTGGCTTCTGGTCTAAGGCTAACGCAGTGATCATTTGTCTGAGGCTAGAACAGTACCAACATGACGTGAACCACAAGGAGAGTAGTAGAGGGGTGCTTTCCCTGGCAGCTGGTGGCTAAAACTGAAGGGAGTCTTAGAAAATGGCACAACGGCAGCCTTTCTTTCTTGTCTTCCTCTTTCCGTGTTGGTTCTGATGAAGGAGGACAGTGTTGCTCTTGAAATTTCCTTGTAACCCAAATAAGTTCTGGGAAAGCTTGACCTGCATTCATTGTCATCTTTGCCAACACCGCCGTGGATGTCACCTTAAGTTGCCGTGCTGTTGCCCTTCCTCCTGGGTCACCTGCCTTTGATGATCTAGACCTGCTTTATTACCAGTTAAAACCGTTTACTCTGACAATCTGTCTTTGAACCTTGGAGATCTCTTCAAAACTGCCTCTGTCAGTGACTGGAAAGACCAGCAAGGAGCCTTCAGCGGTCCTCATGTACTGTTCGTTCCTGACTCCAAACTCTCCTTGTCCAGCTGTACCCACAATATCTAGCCGGGCTGATCTGTCGTCATCACACATGGCTTTGTGTAGAAATCTCCCGTGGTTGGGTCGTAATCTGTTACAGAATAGGATGGGATGAACTGGATGGTGAGCGCCAACTTGCCCACGACGCCCCGGCCGACCACCGCCATCCCACCAGCCGATCCCATGATCCGGTACTTCTGGCCAGAGCTGTCCCACCAGCCAGCCTCGGCCATGGGGACACTGCGAGCCCAGCCTGGCTCCGGGAGTGTGTGGGACCGGCCGGCTGCGGGCAACACATGGGCTTCAGCACCACTACAAATGGCTGTCTCCCTAGCAATTCTTAATAGGTCATCTCTGAATCCAAGTTTATCACAGGTAGGCTCTGTTATAAGAAGTAGATGCGTGAAAATCAAAAATAATTGTTTCATTTTAATTTTTTTGTTTGTTTGTTTTGTTGTTTTTTTATGGTACTGGGAATTGAACCCAGGGCCTCTAGCATGCTAGGCAAGTACTCAACTACTAAACTACATCCCCAGCCCTTTTTGGTTTTTAATTTGAAGCAGGGTCTTGCTAAGTTACCCTGACGGGCCTTAGTCTCTCAAGTACAGTAGCTGGCTTTGCATGTGTGCATACCATACCATGCCTGGCTCTTGTTTTGTTCTGGTTTTTGAGACAGGGTCATACATATGGGCTAGACTGCCCCCGAACTTGCTATGTAGACCAGGCTGGTCTCAGACTCACAAAGACTAAACCTTAGGAGGGGCTGGGGATTTAGCTCAGTTTACACACACACACCCCACCCCGCATGCTTCCAAGCACAAGGTCCTGAAATTGATTCCCATAACAAAAAAAAAAAAAAAAAAAGGACTGAACCTTAGGGCCTGGTACATGTTACAGAAGCACTCTGTCCAAGATAATATTTGTATTTACAGCATTCTTTTATACAATTTGAACATCTCTCGTACATTTAAAACAAGAGGGTTTACATTAGATTTTTTTACTAGGTAAGGTGAGCTCTAGTTATTTAGTTTGAGATCATTTTATTTTATTTTTTATTTTTTGTTACCAGGGATCAAACTTGGGACCTTGCACTTTCAAGTCAGGTGGCAAGAAACATCGAGCTAAATCCCCGGCTAGATCATTTTAAAATGTAGTTATCACCATGTCAAAACGTCTAATAGATTTGGACATTTAACACCGTGGGTTTGACGTGGACATAATAACAAAGATACAGGAGGAATGGTTAGGAGAGCAGAGAGCAAAATCAGTTTGTGAGCAAAGGGTTGTGTGGTCCCTGAGGTGGGACAGTGGTTTTCCTGAGCTGTGATGACAGTTGCTGCTCTATACTGTGGTGGTCTTTGGTTCCCTTTGCCCACTTTTTCTGCAGCAACCTGTTTAGGGTAGGAAGTGATTTGACCAACAGATTCTCCAGCTTTGCATGCAAAACCATAAGAGATTACAGATACTTTTCTTTCTCTCTTCTCTGCTTGCTGCATTTGATCTTTGTTTCCAATTGATTTGTTGTTGTTGTTGTTAATTTGTTTTTATTTTCTTCTATGACCAGTTTGTTGCTCCAGAAAAAGCTACATAAGTTTGAGTTGGCCTGTTTGGCCAACCTTTGCCCAGAGACTGCTGAGGAATCCAAGGCTCTTATCCCAAGGTTAGTACCAGTTGTGAAAAGTTCTGTGTATATTGGATAAATTCCTACAAATAAATTACTATATCTAAAAGGCACATGCAGGCCAGGCGTGGTGGCACATGCCCTTAATCTCATCACCTAGGAGGCTGAGGCAGGAGGTTTGCTGCAAGTTTGAGGCCAGCCTGAGCTACATAGTGAGACCCTGTCTCAAAAATAAGTAAATAAATAAAAGGTATATGCATTTAAAATTTGGTAGATATGACTGACGTTGAATGAGTGTCTATCAGTGTATGAAAATGATCCACACTGGTAGCAAGAATCACTTTGGAGAGCAGTTTGTGTGTAGTAGAGTGCAAGATGAGTATACCTTACAAGTGTACTTGTATTCCCATGTTCATTGCTAGTGATAGGAGAAGCCAGACAACAGGAGAGCGGATATAATTTTACTATACAATAATTGAAAAATTAATGAACTGAGATCATGGAATAATAACACTTGACAAAATGAATTTTAAGACAAATCATTGCAGAAGTACACATGCACTGTAATGACATTTCTGTTTTGTTTTGTTTTTGTTTTTCAGTATTGGGGATTGAACTTGGGACCTTGGGCTTGCCAGGCAGGTGGCGGCACCACTGAGCTAAATCCCCAGCCCCTGTGGTGACATTTTTTACACAGTTTAAAAGTAGGGCTAAGTATAGCTCAGGAGTAGAGTGGGTATTCAATATGCATGTGGCCCTTGTTCAATCCTAAGCACCAGAAATAATAATAAAAATGTTACTGGTGGTGTAGCTCACTGGTAGAGCCCTTGCCTAGCATGCTTGAGGCTCTAGAGTCTATCTCCAGCACCAAAAAAGTAATAATGAAGAAAGTAGCTGAATATGGTGGCACATTCCTATAATCCCCGCACTCTGGCTGATGCAGGAGGATCGCAAGTTTGAGCCCTGTCAGGGAAATTTGATGAGAACCTATCTCGAAATAAAAAATAAAATGAGCTGGGGATGTAGCTCAGTTCAGCAGCCCTGGGTTGAATCACCAGTACCGCAAATAAAGATTAAACACAATAGCTGTGCGTGGTGGTGCACGCCTGTAAGCACTTGGGAGGCTGAGGCAGGAGGATCACTGTGAGTTCAAGACCAGCCTGAGCTACATAGTGAGTTCCAGGTCAGTCTCAACTACATAGTGAGACCCTGTCTCAAACAAAGCAAAACAAAAGTTTAAAGAAAAATATTAAGAACATATGCTATATAAAATACTGAATAGTTTCTTTGGTGTGAAAAACTATAATAGTACACAGGATCCTAATGAGATAATTAATAATGTGAAATAGGAAGTAAAGGGCTAAAGGTGTAGGGAAAGTGGGGGAAGGGTGGGGGAAAGGTAATAAGGGAGAGGAAAAAAATATGAGAAACTGAAAAAATGGAAATAAAGTTTTGTAAAGGGGGGGAGGGGAGGAGGGGGTGAAGGGAGGGCAGGGACAAGGGGATAAAATGAGAATAAAGACCTATTATGTAAAGGTACAGAATCCCAATGATGAATGTAACTGTATTGTATACCTAGATTGTACCAATAAACTCAATAAAAAAGAAAAAAAAAAAGAACATATGCTATATAAACTTGTGGATACATACAACGTAGTTGTATTAAGTAGAAGAGTGTCTGTGGAGCCAAGTGTGATGGCTCATGCCTGTAACCCCAGTCACTTGTGTGGCTGAGGGAGACAAGTTTGGGATCAAGTTTGGGCCATGTAGCAAGACTCTGTCTCAAAATAAAAAGGGAGTTGGTACTGAAGGGGTGCTAGAGTGCTCTCTTTTATATGTTTAAAATGTTTTGTAATGTTTTTATGAGAGAAAGCAAGGGAATAGTACACTGAAAAGGTAAAGGTAGAGGAATGTGGGTAAGTGACGCTTTGGGAGGAGCACACTTCAGCGTGTAGCGAAATGATTGATAGCACATACTTGTAATCTTTGCACTCGGGCTGAGGCAGCAGGATTGCCGTGAGTTTGAGGCAAACCTAGGCTAATAGTGAGTTCAAGGTCATTCTGAATTATGTAACAAGACTCAAAAAACACAACGGAGCTAAGTGCATGCCCGTAATCCCAGCACTCAGGCAGATAAAGCAGGAGGATCGCCTACAAGTTTGAGGCAGCCTGAGCTACATGGTGAGATCCTGTCTCAAAAAAAAAAAACCCTAAAAATATAAAAACCAAAAAGTATGAAAAGACTACTAATCACTGCCGCAATCATATTTCTGTCTTACAGCCTGGAGGGGCGGTTTGAAGACGAGGAGCTGCAGCAGATTCTTGATGACATCCAGACAAAGCGCAGTTTTCAATATTAGTCTGCAAACACCACTCATCTGCCCGGAGGGACCCCCTTCCCTAGGGCTGGGTTTGCTTCGCTCAGAAGAAAGCTGGGCTTCCTCTGGAGGGACAGTGCATCGTGTGTGGGTGCAGTGTGCTGTTGGGGTGTGACTGGGACCATAGTCACTGAACCCTGAGTGGCCTGGCAGTGGTTGCCTGTTGCTGCTTAAGCTTGTGGCTAAGGTTGGAGGCGTGATGTGTAGGCCATGCTGTCGACTACCTCATACTGTGGTTTTTAGACCCCACGTTAATTTCTTTCCCTAACGTTTCATGTTTTAATATTAATGTGTTTGTAGTTTTTGAAACTAAATGAAAACATAGAAAACTTGTGTGAGGAAAAATAGTCTTACCGAGATATGAAAGGATTCAACCAGACCAACATTGTTGTGTGGAATTCTTTTGGGGCGGGGGTACCAGGAATTGAACTTGGGACCTTGAGCTTATAAGGCAGGCGCAGTGCCACTGAGCTAAATTCCCAGCCCTTGTGTGGAATTCTTAAAGAAAGGACAAAAATGTTGTGAAAATGCTTGCCGTCATTGTGCCTAAGCCAGGATGGGGCCAGAGAAAGGATGCCAGCGAGATTCTGTGCCCTTTCATGGGGCCATTAACCTTGGGGGAGACAGTGTCCTTTTTTCTTGGGCTGTCCTGCAGAATGTCATCTCAAATTAAGATTAGTGTTCAGGCAGCACCTGTGTCACAGCTGTTTGGGTGGCTGGGGCAAGAGGATCACTTGAGCATAGGAATTCAAGAGTAGCCTGCACAACTTAGTAAAGCCACGTCTCAAGAAATTTTGAAGGCAAGCGTGGAGGCAGATACCTGTCATCCAGCACTCAGGAAGCCGAGGCAGAAGGATTGCCAATTTGAGGCCAGTGTGGACTGTGTACTTAGTAAAACCCTGTTTACAAAAACAGTTTTCCAGAGGGCTGAGCCCTGAGTTCAGTTCCCAACAACCCCCCCCCCGCCAAATTAAATAGATTTTCCTTCATAGCCCACATTGAAAGCTGTGAACACTTAGCTACCTCGTGCCTCACCCTTCCCCTGAGAGACGTAGTCCTGATAAATCTGTGTAGGGTGTGAAAGCCTGATGGTCTCCTGCTGTAGCTTCCAGCTGAGAGTGGCTGTTATTCCTGCCTATAGAGGATTATGGAATTCTCACCCTGACTGAAGGACAAAGGAAGAGTTGGTGTCTCTGGTGTAGGATTTAATGATTTGGGGTGGACTTGGGCATGGATCAGTGGCAAGTGAGATACTGGGTGAACTGGAGTTGTGTAAGGTAGAAAGGTTGAGCCGCCTCTGAGGGACAAGAAAGAGTAGTTGGGGTCTTCCGTGGTTGACAGAAATTGGACTCCCTATCAAGCCATCATATATAGGTGGATTTGTTGGATCTTGGAAGAGTTAAATTATGTGAGAATTAAGTAGACAGGGTCTAAACATAAAAGGCCAAATAAGGGTGGTAGCTAGGACAGCCAACTATTTGGCCCTTGTTCCCATAATCGGGGTTCCTGAGGATGTGAACAGTTTGCTGTAAGACACCTGGTTGGTTGCTATAGTAATAGCATTGTTCTTCCAAAGCCAAGCAGAGACCTCTCTATAGTACAGCCAGCATATCGAGATAGAGCTGTGTAGGGCTGTTCCTCCCTTGCAACTCCAAGGTTCTAAGTTCATCTCTGGTACTGCCAAAAAAAAAAAAAAAAAAAAAAAGCTGGGCGTGGGGGTGCACGCCTATAATCCCAGCATTCAGGAGGCTGAGGCAGGAGGATCGCTGTGAGTGCGAGCCCAGCCTGGGCTACATAGTGAGACCCTGTCTCAAAAAACAAAAAAAAAAAAAAAAAAAAAAAAAGCTGGGCGTGGTGGTGCACGCCTATAATCCCAGCATTCAGGAGGCTGAGGCAGGAGGATCGCTGTGAGTGCGAGCCCAGCCTGGGCTACATAGTGAGACCCTGTCTCAAAAAACAAAACAAAAAAAAGATAACAGCTCTGCAAGGGCCACCAGGGCTAGGAAATCTATTTCATCATCTAAGGCCTTTAAGGTGGTAGAGAGCTGGATAAGGCTTTCGGAGGCAATGGAAAGTGTGTGAGGCTATTCCTAACCCCATAGCTCTTGTTCCTGTCCATGGGGTGATACATAAGCCCACAAAGAGGAGGATTAGAGTACTCATCCTTTTTGGTCAGACAGGCAGAAAAGGGGGTCCGGAAGGCTGGTTTTCAAGAGCAGTTTGTTTATTGGGACTATATAGGATAGTGCAAACACCTGTCCAGTTGGAAGGAAGGCTTGATTTCCACAGAGGACACACCTAGGGTGGTAAGGCAGGTTGCCAGACCAAGATAAATAAGATGTAGGGCTGGGGATTTAGGTCGGTGGTGCTGGGCCTGCCTTGAAAATGCAAGGTCTTGAGTTCCACCCCCAGTATGGGAGGGGGGCGAGAAAGAGAAACCAATGTGTATCAGTTGTGAACGTGTTGGTGGCTCCTCTGAAGAAATACTGAATTGTAAATGCCATTCCTGTTAATGTTTGAAGAGGAAGACTATGGCTGAGATGTGCCACATGGGTCTTGCTTTCTTGAAAGAAGTATGATCTCTGCGAATCGAGGAAAAACCATTTTTCTGTGGCTGACAAGGAAGTGAGGTACTGGCGATGAGAGGTTGGGGCAGCGCTAGCAGCAGTTCTGTAGGGGCTGAGATCAGGGGCTTGGGAAGGCGATGGTCTTCCGCGACGGAAGCCGGAACTCTCGTGTGTGGGTAGGAAACAGACAGATTGGTGTGGAGAAACTTGTGCTAGAAAAGAATAGCATGTAGACCTGTGGTCTAAGGCTGAAAGTATTTGGGGTGATCTATGGCCTGTATGCAGATTGGAACTTAAGTGACAAAGAAGACATCTGAAAATATCGGTGCAGAAACGTAGTTGCCAGAAATGGTTTGAATTTGCCTAAGGAGACTTGCATAAGAGAATTGGAGGGGGAAAAAGGCCTGGAGTTGAAGGTTTCATTGGAAATGAGGGTGTGGCTGGGCATTGTGATGCATGCCTGGAATCTCAGCATTTGGGAGGCAAGGCAGAAAGACTGCTGACTTCAAGGCTATCCTGGGGCTATCAAGACCACCCTGAACTACATAGCAAGACCTTGTCTCAAAACAACAACAAAAACAAAAACCCACCAAAATAGAAAAAAAGGAAATGAGGGTATAAAGATGTCTTAAGGAGAGCTCAGTCAGAAAGAACTGTAGGATATACCTGGGTGATCCAGGTGGGAGAAACAGGTAGGTCCAGCAGCCTTGTGCTAAGGATTGATTAGTGAACTTTAGGAGAGTGTGAGCTCTTTCAAATAGGAGGAGGTTAGGAAAGGTCTTAGGTGTGATAGGCTGGATACTAAGCACAGCTAACTAGGGAAAGGAGGTCTGTAAGCAGAATAGAATAGGGGCCTCATTAGGTTTTCTGGCTAATCCTGTCTACAGCTTTACTGGAGGGAGCAGTTAGACCAGAGAGGAAGCCAGATGCACTTCAAAGCAGTACAGCTGCCCCTCCCTCCCTCCCTCCGATAAAATGCATAGAAGCCTAAAGGGGAGGGAGCTACCTAACCTAAAGAAAGCTCTTGTAGCAAGAACCCAATTTGTAAACATTTGCTTGTTGTTTTTTTTACTTATAAACACAGGTACAAATGAACCTCGTGTTATGAACATTCATAGATGTGAACAAATCACAGAAATAGCTCACTGGTCTGCTGGACATTGTCACCTTCTCACACTGTGTGCTCACTGCCCAACGCGATAGTGGACAGGAAGTAGGACATCTAGACGCAAGAGGAAAAGCAGTGGTGAGGTGGAGGGGCCTGCTGGGAGTCGCAAAGGGATATACTCTGTGTATTTGTATCAGAGTTGTTACAAGACTCACTTGGATGGACTTAAAAATGAGTCTGGAGTCCGGGAATTTAGCTCTGGGGCCGCTGCCTGCCTTGTAAAACTCCAGGTCCCAAGTTCGATCCCCAGTACAAAAAGAAAATCTGACTCATGAATGTTCTCCTGGAACAGAACTCATTAATAAATTAGGGACAGGGGCCGGGGATTTAGCTCAGCGGTTCGGTGGCCTGCCTCACAAGCTCAAGGACCCGAGTTCAATCCCCGGTACCAAAAAAAAAAAAAAAA